AATAATAGTAATTTAAGTAATGGAAATTCATATTTTGGGCCTAGTCCCAAAAAGGTTCTAAGTGCTGTACAAGGCAGAATTATCTCTCAACTTGTAAAGTTACCTGGCGGTCCGACGAGTCGGGTCTGTCAGGGGGCCCCGTCCAAGATAAGTGTTGCCTCATCGTGGTCCTGAGTCCGACTGAATTAGGCCTGGGCAGGACTTGGACTTGAGACTTGAGACTTGAAATTCTCGTGCCCACCAAGTAGTGTTTGAGACCAAGTATTTAGATCTGAGCAAGTCCAAGTCAGACTTAGCAAATTATCCCTCAATCAAAAAACAAAATTATTTAAACGCAGAGTGCAAACTTTGAGTATAGATCTAGATCTAGACTCAGTGAACCAACGTCTGAAGAAATTATGCTCAAAACTGGTATGTTTCTAATAAATTTCGTGTTTTCAGTTGGTGGTTTTAATTCAAATACATCTACCACCCCTACTACTTGCTAGGACTTGCCCGTCCTAGGCGGATTGGTTGAGTCCATTTCCTCGATAAGGGGCTATTCATGTTACATGTATACCTTATTACGTCCCCTGGACTTGAAACTGGGCTTGAGACTTGCGGGTCTCAGGGTGTTAGGACTTGAGACTTGAAAATCCAATTTTTTTCAATTCTGCCCAAGCCAAGACTAAATATCTCAGTGAGTCTCTCAGACGATCTCCACCTATTTCCCGCGGAACCCTTGACGTCATCCAAGGGCGTGCCACTCCCTTAATTATCTTGTCCCCATAGTAAAAATAAGAGTCATGTCCCTTGACATCACATCAACTTAGCTGACAAATCAAGGGAAAGAAAATGTACCTTAAGTTATTTGTGAGACTTTAATTTAACAACACACTTACACTTGCGCGCTCACACATGCACACACACACACACACACACACACACACACACACACACAACACTCCTTGACCCACATACATTCCGGCACACCAAATGTACCTGAAGGCTTTTCACTAAACTAAGCTAGATGGTAGAAGTGCACTTTGAACTTTATTTCTCTCACCACTAACATCTGGTAGTGATTGTGACCTTTGACCTTATTCTGGTGTTTATTGGACATTAGGGATATATAGTACACGAACCATCTAGTGTTTATAGGACGTTATGGACATGTAATACATGAACCATCTAGTGTTTATAGGAAGTAATTGACATATAGTACATGAATCCGCTTGTGTTTATTGGACATTAGGGATATATAGTACATGAACCATCTAGTGTTTAGAGGACATTATGGACATGTAGTACATGAACCATCTAGTGTTTATAGGACATTACGGACATATAGTACATGAACCATCTAGTGTTTACAGGACGTAATTGACATGTAGTACGTGAACCATTTAGTGTTTATAGGAAGTAATTGACATATAGTAGTACATGAATCCACTTGTGTTTATAGGAAGTAATTGACATATAGTACATGAACCATCTAGTGTTTATAGGAAGTAATTGACATATAGTACATGAACCATCTAGTGTTTATAGGAAGTAATTGACATATAGTACATGAACCATCTAGTGTTTATGTGACGTAATATATAGTAGGCCTACATGAACCATCTAGTGTTTATAGGATGTAATTGACATATAGTACATGAATCCACTTTGTGTTTATAGGACAGTGTTGCCCTATAGTATATGAACCATCTAGGGTTTATAGGCCGTAATGGACATATAATAGTTGGACTTTTAAAGTTAATTTACAATTTTTTTTGGGTGTATTTGACTTCATTTGATAAAGCAAGGAATTGAACGGAATTATAATGTTTCGTATGTTTCCGTCAGATGATGGAAGTTAACAAAACTGCCGCTTTTTCTTTCTTTTTTCTTTCTTTTTTTTGGGGGGTTATTAAAATTTCAGCTTTCTTTTTAAAGCTGTTTTTTTGTTTGTTTGAATGATGTGTTTTAATTTGAGTTTGCAATTTTTTTTTTCTTTTGTTTTTGTTTTTAAAACTTTTTTCACAACGTAATTTTGTTTTTAAACTTGGCAAAAATGTGTGTGATGTGATTCTCAGAGTGCTAGTGCTAGCAAAGAAATTAGGAGTTTGAATTTCTCCCACTCAGATGCTTTTTGTAGCGATGTATCTACCTGTATTTCATTTAGAGTAGGCTAGGTATGTACATATAGTAATAGGTCTTTAGATGACCATACTGGTACATAGATGAAGTACTGTGTATTGGTCCTGAACAAATTACAATGATTATGACTTCCTTCTTAGTGTTCTGTACTTTCTACTCTGATGTATTTAAATTGAATTCAAAAGATAAAGAGAAAAAAGAAATCAGTTTGTGAAAAACAAAAATCTGAAGTGGAAAATTGAATTTTAAAGTTGTAAAAAATGTGATATCAGATAGACCTAGTAAATTAATGACAGATCAAGTCTTCCAGTTTAAAAATGTTATGAACAACGCAGTATAAAGTATTTAAAACTGAACTTAATGTACGCTTTTTAAATTAATGTTATTCTCACCGTCTTCCAGTGTAAATCTATTATGAACAACGGCGTATTTAAAACTGAATTTAAAGTTCTCCTTTTCTATGTTATTCTCTTTCTTAATCTTCAAGTTTAAATCTGTTTTTAAAAAAAGAATAATTTAAAACTGAATTTAACCTGAACTTTAAGTAATTTAATTCTCGTAATCTTCAAGTTCAAATCTATTATCAACAAGGAAGTATTTCGATTTGAATTTAATTATTAACTTTTTCTATTTTATTCTGGCTGTCTTTCTGTATAAATTTATTATTAACAACAGAGTGTATTTAACGTGAACTTTTTCTAAATCTATTCTTGCAGTCTTTCTATTTAAACCTATTACTAACAGCAGAGTATTTTAAATTTGAGTTTAATGTAATTTTTAAAAAATGTTAATCTCGTTGTCTCCCATTTAAAATCCATCATTAACAACAATTGGAAATTGAATTTAACACGGATCTTTTTCTTTAAAAGTTATTCCTGCTGTCTACCATTTTAAATCTTTAAGTAGTAGCAGCAGACTAGGCCTGTTTGAAATTGAATTAAACGTGAACTTTTTCTAAAACTGTTCTGGCAGATTCCCAGTATGTATGTAAATCTGTCACTAACGACAGAGTATTCAACGAATACTTTGTTTGGCGACTTGATGCCCTTCGCTTTATTTTTAGAAATTTGCTTTTTGGTTTCTGCTGAACTTGAGAGTTTTGTTTCGCTTAGCATAAGAGCTATTGGGATTGTGCTACATTCTAACAGAGGCGACAAAACTTATTGTGTTGAAAGTAAAAGTTATCACGGCCTAATCCCTATTGTTTTGTTCCATTTTGCCCAACTTGTTCTGTGCCCCCTTAATTAATGAATTACCTAAATTTTGTTGATAAGGGTGTGAAACACTTTCAATTATTTGCAGCCCCCCCCCCCCCCCCCCACCCTAACCACACCGCCACCACTCCTACCACTGTGTATTCCTGAGTAAACGTAAAGAGAAGTGGCCCATGCCATGCAACAAAATACTTACGTTTTTGTCCAGTGTCCCAAAATATGTTGAGATGGCACAGGGAAGTTGATAAACAATAATTAATCTAATGTAGATGAAGAGAAATTCGTCAAACTGTGACTTGAATAAATTGTGTCTTTGTCGATTTCAAGAAGAAAAAAAAAAGAAGATGTTTTTCAAAAGTGTGGGAATCGGTTGAGATGTGCAGATTTCTACATGTAATAAGAACAAGCATCACCACCATGACTCCTCCACTATTTGCTCGCAGTGTTTTCATAAACCTGACAATCAACGTTGGCTTCAGGCTCTCCAATAACAATCCAGAATATCCCGGCACTGTCCCAGATTTGTCAATTGAGAATTCGAGATGGTTATCATATACACGTTGTTAATATACGTAATCTGGAGATTTCATGGAGCTCCCTGTCTTCCCGAGACCCCAGTTGTTCATTCAAGTAATTCAAGTAATACGTAATCTGATATTATAAATGACGTTGAATGTCTCTGATTGGGCTTTTTGAAAAAGTTGGCAAGCATGTAACTACCATGGTCATTATTTGCCTTGGATTCGACAATCGAGAATTTGAGAGCTCTATCGCATCCTACGTGACACTGAAACCCAGCTCCACCTAATGTAAATTAAAATTGTTCATTTCTATACAAAATTGGTCACTTTTATGCACAAGGGGCTATCCCAAAAAATGCTGTTTTGAGAAAATCAAAGGTGAAGTTTTTGGATTCTTATTCAGCTTCTTTAAAAGACAGAGTTTTTTTCTATAATCAAACAAATATACACACCAACTGAACCAAACTTCTCCTATAGGTAGGGCAATATCCACTTTTGGTGTAGTTTAAGATTTCTGGAAACCCCCTTGAAAGCGACCAATTTGATGTAATTATTATAACACTGAGTGGCCCTAATTGAGTTTTGAAAAAAAGTTGGCAAGCCTACAGTAACTGTCATGGTTGTTCGAATGTTTCTTTAAAAAAAAATGTATTTCATGGTTTCTCTCCTTTCCTCCGTTGTGGGTGGTTGGCGGGTGCTCTGGTGTGGTTTGCTCCTTCTTTCCTATCAAACAACTATCATCCTTTTTTCCCCTTCTTTTAAAAAATATTTGTTACTCTCTTGTAGCACATCTAATCTTCGGCACTTACATGACCTTATTGTGGTGCAAGTGCCGTAAAACACTTACTAAACCTTACTAAAACTAACACCTTCCTCCGTCGGGCAGGGAGTCGAACCTGATTTCCACCAACACCATCCTGACGCTGGGCCACCTGGCCGTGGTGGTGAAGGAAGAGCCCAAGCTGGTGGAGTCCATCCTGCAGATCTTCCAACAGAGGTTTTGCTCCCCACCCTCACAGCTTGACGTACTCATAGTGGACCAGATGGGATGTATGGTCATGGCTGGATGTGTAAGGACACTTTCTCTCTCTCTTCTATATGTCTGTCTGTCTGTCTGTCTGTCTCTCTCTCCCACCCTCTCTCTCTCTCTCTGACTCTCCCCACCCTCCCAGCTGAATGTGCTTATAGTGGACCAGATAGGATGTATGGTCATGGCCAGATGTGTAAGGATACTTTCT